GGGGGGGGGGGGGGAGGAAAAAAAAACAGCAGTAGTCTCCCACTGGAATCTTGGCTTGAGGTGAATAGATGAATGACAAAATCTTTGCCCTGCACTGGGGCCTCTCTAACCTTCCACTTCCTGTTGAGTTGTGAAACAAAAAAGTAAACATTTAACTGAATGTGGCAGCCTGAGACAATCAGCCCTATTGTGGAAGGAACACCAGTCCCTTCTCTCTCTGCATAAATTCTCTTCACTGGCAATGCTAATAGAGCTGCAGTGGAAGTAAGCCAAGGCTTTCATTGGGCAAGACCCAAGTTTAAGCAGAAATACAAGTAGTGTGGTTGCCTGGTCCCTGGAAATATCCTGTATGAAGGAGGGCTGTTGAAGTTTGCTCACACTCGGAGGCTTTTCAAAAGTATTTTGCTTTTATTGTAGGAAAGCAATTCACAATACTTGAGACTTTGAGGCTGCTATGGGGTTTTGTGGGAGTGGTTGGATGTGGCATAATTTTTATACGGATATAATCATTCCAGAGTGGAATTGCTGAGATGTGTTCCTTGTACAAAAAGCAGTCATTCTTCAAACTAGTTTCCTTGATCTCATAGCACTGCGATGACTGTGCATTCCTAGCTGAGGTAAGGATCTTTAAAGGGTTCTTGACATGAATAAAACCATGGGTTCTAAAATACTACAAACCAAGCTGAATTTATTGTTCATCCAGCTTAGATGCAAGTAGTCTATTCCCTTGTTCCAGGCTCACCAGTTCATACCATCCTTCAGCTGTGCTTTGTGATGATCTATCACAATGCTGGAGCCTGCATAACCTCCTGCCCGGAGAAGGCGATAATACTGCATAATACTGATGCACTACTAATGACCTTGGGTATTTCCAGATGCAGCTCGTGAGAACGTTCTTTCATGCCTTTAAAATACCGTCTTCTACATATGTAAGTAAGCATTACAAGTAGAAAGAGACAGTCTGGAAATATGTTCATTTTAATGGTAATTCTGCCCATCTGATACATCTCCTGCCCTACTTTATTTGTTGTGAGCTTTTTTTATTTTAGAATAGATGGATAAGTAAATTACTTTTAACAGATTAGACTTCAGTAAGAGTGATATTCTACATGTTTAATGCAATTTTAAACCACTTAAATTTATGAGGAGTTTTACTTTCTCCTCTAACTGCCCTAGAACTGCAGGTGTGAGTCTTTTCTGACTTCCTATTGCTAATTTGACAGACAGAGACTGAGTCCAATCTACATTTGGAATACTATAGCTTTTAAAGAGTATTGGTCTTGTGCAAAAAGCAGTATATCATCTGCATTAAGATCTGTCTTGTACCCATCCCTTGGTCCCCAGAAACAAACAGAATCTCCCAATCTGAGTATCCCGCTTTGGTGCGGACGTCAGGGGCTCCTTGGCTAAAAAACAGCAATGGTGTGCTCCTATGTGTAGTACGTCTTATTAATTTAAATCGGTCTGAGGAAGTCTCAAACAGTAATATGGGAGATTTTCAGTTCTCAAAAGCAGAAGTCCAAGTTCTCTACTTACCTCTCAAGCCTTTTCCTCTTTACAGCACCTACATAAATGCTACATACATATTCTACCTACACATATTCTCAGTCTATTCAGTGACAGAGTAGTTTTGTGTGGTGTTTTTGTTTGCATTTGCCATTGCTTTTGTATCAAGAGGGGAGAGAAAAAAAAAAAGGTACTTGAAGTGGTGTTTACACAGTTACATGTTAGGTGAGGGGCTCTCTAATATTATCTGCATTTTTTTTGCTTGCTTTAGTTCTTGATTCATTTTATGCACACATCTAATTAGTATACTTGTAGTCTCTCTGCAGAACTTTCTGCCAGCGTATCTTTGCAATAACATTTCTTTATGAGAAATGAGGTCTGTACAGACAATCCTTCCCTTAAGATGTTAAAGGCGTTAGTGACCAATGATGTCTGCAGATTGTGCCATTTTCCCCCTTGAGTTCTAGCTACAGACAGTCCTCACTTTGCATGATGCCTAAAATTCATTACTTCTGTCATTTATGCAGAATTAAGATATTTTAGGGAAAATGTCATAAAGTCAACAAAATGAGTGATACAGATACACAGCTATATACACAGCTGACTGCTGAGGCCTGCCATTTTGTGCATGGGAAAGGCTTAGTTTTGGACTCTTTTCTTGGAGCCACTTAGTTTTTCTCTGAGACTGCATCCTAGACAGTCTTCACAAGTATATGTTTTCCAAGGTCTTTTCTAAGAGGGCTTTTAAATGTCATACTCTTTGATCCGCTAAGTTTTTAGCAAGGCAAGCTTGCAACTTCTCTGCGAGAAAAATAAGGGCTTTAAAACTAGTACTTCCCCCATTTTTCAAACATGTTGCTCCTCCATTTATTCTTCTGGCCCCACCCAAGGTAGATGAGTTCCCATTGCAAGAAATTTTTTTATAGCACAGTGTGCAATGATGTGTTCTCAGTCCGGCATTCATTAAGTTGGTATACCTTGCTGCTCATAACATTCTGTAGATCAGTTCCATCTTTGTCACATGGGCATCTATAAGATACCTGGGAGATGCCTTACAGATCTCTAAATTCTGCTGACTTTTACCTGAGAAAATGTTCGTGTCTTCTGTTTTGTGAGCCTTGGTTTGAATGAAGATGGACTTCAAGAGCTGTGGGTCAGGCAGTAATATAAATTACTTAGCTCTCATTGAAACCTATCATCTTTCAGATTTGTGACTTTCTCACGCTTGCCACCATAATCAGTGCCATAGTGAGCTCTCCTTATTTTTTGTTACTATCTGCTAGTAAATCTTTGAGATGGACTTGTTGGATTGTTCATTGATAGGTTTTGGTAAGTGTATTAAAAGTGGAGCGTGTTTTAAAAAACAACCAACCAACCAAAACATACAAATCATACTACCTATTACTTCTGCTCTGTTGCTTAAAGTGGACCGTTATGTAGTTTTAAAAGACAAAGAGTTGTAACAGCTCAACTGTTTGAGCTGTCTAACTCCTAAGAGAGAATGTTATAGCCTAGGGCTGGCTTTGCTGGAAGCACAGAGAGGACAAAGTCACTCTTAAATGTTTTTTTTCTTTGCAGCGAGCTACATAATTCCTGAGGTAGAATTTCATCAGGGCTAGGTATGAAAATCCTGTGTTGCTTTTATGGATGGAGGAGTATGAAGGGAGTTAGTATTGCCAATGAATGCCAGGTACTGATTGATGCTCCTTCTGTTCTAGTAATTTAAAACCATTTTAAGTTTATAAGCTGCTACTCCCTCTTGTTTTGACCACAGTTTGCATAATGGAGAAGCTAACTCTCTAGCAGAAGTGATGGAGCCGGACAGAACAGTATCTTGCTCTTTTATGTATTGTCACGTGACAAATGTAACTAGGTATGTTTGCCTCGCTTCCTATCTGTTTGATTTTAACACTTCAGTTGCATTAAATTTTTCCAGAGCTTTCCAAGGTTTGTTTCTAATAATGTATTTATCAGGTAGATTTGAACAGCTTTCCTAGATGTATTGCTCTATTTTTGGGTAACTATTTATAAACAGAAAATGTTTTCCAAAGTCAGAAAAAAGAATGAATTGCCTTCCGGGGGTAGAACATAAGAGAAGAGTCATCTCATGTGAAGATACTGAAAAAGTTTTGTTCTCTTGTGCCTTTGGAGGAATAGCCTCTTTGCTTCTCATACCAGTCATAAATGAATGCTGTCTGGGATTGTCCATCTGTGTGTGGCCTCCGTGTGTGTGTGTGT